TTATAAATTACTTGGTCACAAATTATTTCTCGGTAACGATAAAAAAATTTATAGGTCACAAATTATTTCATAATGACAAATCGACAATTTTATAGGTCATAATTTTTTCATCGATCACAAATTTATAAAATTAGTAAATCATGTATTATTCATTAGTCACAAATCACAAAATTTATATATCACAAATTATTTTAACTTCACAATTCAAAAATTTTATAAGTCACAATTTGTTCATCGGTCACAAATCAAAAATTGAAATATCACAATTATTTATAGGTCACAAGTCACAAATATTATAAGTAACAAATTATCAAATTATCGGTGTGTCAAATTAATAATTTTTAGGTCACACATTATTTTTTGGTCACAATTTATCTTTTGCATTAGTCACAATTTGTTTATCGGTCATATTAATCAATTTAATTATCACAAACAACCAGAATAATCTGTGACCACCACTAACACTTATGACTACCACCTCACTACTACCACCAACAGCATGGCAACCGAAACCCGTCGCCGGAACCACCACCACCCCATCCTACAACCCAAGAAAATCCCCAACCCTACTATCATCGCCGCCGACCACCTCCAACAAATCTTCAACTTCAAATCCACCAACACCACCACCTCGTCAACACAACCACCAACAAGATCCAACAGTCGCCCAAACACCAGATCGTCTCCCAAAAATCAACAAAAATGTCGCCCAAAAATCAATAAAATCACCATCCTGCAACGGCGATGGTTTCGATTTGAGAGTGTAGAGATGGTAGTGAAGAGAGGATGGAGAGGAGATGAGAGAACCGCCACCGCCACCATCGTCTATGCCACCACCACTGCCATAACCTACAATTGCACCACCAACAAAAACCTCAACAACTCATCGCCACGCTTACAGCCACCACCACCAAGATCATCCACCACCACCACCACCGCTGTCAGCCATGGCGGGCAGACCACAGCTACCCTATACCACCACCACCACCATAATCCAACCGCGACGTCGTCGCGACTTCCTAGCGACCAGGTATCGCCACGAGTTCGCAGTAGCGCCTGGAAGTGTCGGGCAGCTATGGAGAAATCGCACCATTTTCTGATTTTGATTTCTCAGGTAGAGTAGAGAGAGAATAGGATAGAGAGAGGGAAGAGAGAAAATGGGTGACAGTGAGAGAAGGGGAGGTAGAGTAGAGAAAGAAAATTGAGTGGATAAAATAATTAGTGTTTTGGTGTGTATTATTGGGTATAATGAATTTGTATATTTAATTTTGTAATATAATTATTAATATTTTAAAATTTTAATTATCTGATTTTTGAAATAAAAACTTTTTAATCTGGTTTTATGTAAATTCTTCAAAAAAAATAAAAAATTATATGTTTTTGTCTATGTTGATGGCCCAAGTAGCAATACAAGTGCTGAAGTGCATGCATTGATAACTTTGTCTCACCAACTTGGTTTTTGATTAGCCATAAAAAATGAGGAAATTACATAATTCCAGGTATTTGAAAATTACAGTGCAAAAATCAGGTGAGAAGTTTTTTTAATCAAAATTCAGGTACCCACCCAAGCCCTAATATAATTTCTCTCCCTCCTCTCGACATCTCTCACTTTTCTCTCCTCTCCACCCTCTCTCTTCTACCTCTCTTCAATGTCGACGGTTCATTCGAACTCCAGCAATCGACGACGAAGGGATGCGCCCGATCGACACTGCTAGCATCGGTAATGCTGAGCTGATTCCACCCTTCGGTGAACGAATCGCTACTGCGAACGCGGCAAACGACGAGTCTTGAGATGTGAGTGGTGGCCATTACACACAACAATAATATCAAACGTCTCTTCCTGACTCAGCCCACACACCCTTGAATCAACCGACAACCATCCACATCATTTCGTTGAACTCGGACGAATCAATCCGGCGCTCAATCCTGCAGGTGACTGCTGTGCTTGGACCACTGCGTTTGGTTTCACCTTCTTCGGCTTCCCACCTATGAGATCTACGACATTTTNTGTTTGGTTTCACTTTCTCCAGCTTCCCACCTGTGAGATCTACGATATTTTGGGGAATTTAAATTTTTCTAGTCTCTCTCTTTTTCTGATTTTGTGGTGGCTGGAGTTGGGGGTTGATCTTGTGGTGTATTGAAAGTGCAAATAGCGGTGGCGAACTTGATGATATGTTGGTGGTGTAGTGGCTGTGGTGCTGTACTTTTGGGAGAGGGGGGTGGATTTTGGCAAACGATGGTGGTGCAGAGGTGCGGTGGAGCTGTGCACGATGGTGGTGCTGTGGTGTAGTGGAACGGAGAGCCCTGGTGAGTGTAACAGTGGTGTGGTTCTGTAGGTGCGTTCGTGGTGCTGCGGGTGGCAGTCGATGGTGGTGCAGGTGGAGGATCAGATGGATCTAGTGATTTTGGTTTTATGACTAAAAATATATTTTATGACCTTAAAATTCGGTAATTTGTGACCAAAAATATAATTCGTGATCAACCATTTTGTTATCTGTGACCTAAAAATTATATAATTTGTGACCGTGAAAAAATCTGTGACCAACTAATTTGGAAACCTGTGACTGTGTGACCTATAAATTTTGATCTGTGACCAACTAATTTTGAAATTTGTGAC